TGCAGTAGCCGGGAGCGGCCACTGCACTCCAGTCTGGGTGACAGAGTGAGACTCCAACTCAAAAAAATAAAATAAAATAAAATAAAAAAATAAAATTACTTCCAGTCATAGAAAATAACAGAAAATGTTTTGCTAATGTTATATTATGATGAAATTTTTTTAAAGGAGTAACAATACAAAGAATGAATTTTTAATGCATAAAAAAGTGGAAGGTTTTGTCAGCTTCAACCTGAACTGACCTGATCCAGAGTCTTTTTACCCCATCCGATAGCCTTCATCTTACGTTTCACTTCCCACTGTTTCTGATAGGCCAAAATATGATTCAGAGGCCAAGGGTAAGGAGATCCATATCTAGTGTGAGTAATCTAAAGCAAAAAGATTTTGTTAAAAAAGGTGATCCTCCCTTTAAAAAAATGCCTGCTTTTACAATTAGAATTCTAAAAGAAATGTATTTTCAGAGAACATAAATAAAGCAATCTGAGAAAAATACATAGCTTGCAATCTAAAAAAATTAAAATTTTAAACCATTCCCTTTAAAAATACATAAACTTTTATGTACTTTGCAACCAGTTATATCAAACAATGACACATTGCTTCCCTAAAAAATGTATGTGCAAGCAAAATTAAAGTAAGTGAAAAACTATAACACTAATGGTATAAACCACAATGTTTCATTTATGAGCAGGGACTTGCGATTCTGAGCAAAAGTGTTTTCTCATTAAATTTTAATTAAGATAAATGCTTCAGAACCACTCACCTCCCCTACTGTAGCTTCATCACACCACTGAAGATACAACTAGGAACAAAAGAACAGTCACTAAAACTTTAGAATAGCAAAGAGAAAAAGGATAAGGAAAGTTATTTCTTGCCATAGAAATCTTTTATAAGCCAATTTTATAAGTCACACATGTAATGGTTTCTTTTCCTCAGCCGCTATACAGAATTACTAAATTAAATGGTGGTACTTTATAAAAATATTTCTTATTTACACAATACAACTCTAAATATCATTAAAGTATTTTACTGATATTTAAGTAAACTTCAGAAGGCTGAAAAATTATCGAGTAGATAAGAATCACCCCTTTGCAAACAGAAAAACTAGAACTGAAAATGTCATGTAACTTGTTCAAAGATACTAATCAAATAATTTGGGTAAGCATCTCAGCCCTAGAATCACTTGAATATTTTCCCATTTCTCAATAACTTTAAAATAAGTCATAAGAAAGATTAAATTTTATGAGAAAAAGCTTATTTTTCAAGCCATATTATCTGGTATTATACCTCTGCAGTCAACAGCATATTGTTGACTAATTCCATGTAAGCTTTCATTTCTGCTTTTTGGACTTCATCCAGCCCATCACTAAGAGAATGTCCCTAAAGGGAATTTAAAAAAATGTAAAAGTGCATCATATTAAATACATAAAAACTTTCAGTTATCTTACTAACAGGTAATATAATATGCAAATGTCCAATGGATTAGTTCTAAAATTCTCCTAAAATAAAATTATTTTATATAAATAAATTTAATGCTTTGCTATTGCTATAACAACATGTTAATAAGCATTGATTTCTCAGTAAACAAATGCATCTTTCAATAGCCAAAAAATAACATTATCAATTATTTCACAAAGGAAGAAAACAGAATGGTCAACAAATCTTGCTTTTTAAAGAAATTAACCTTATCAGAAATAAAAGAAATGCTATAAGACTGACATTTACAGGTTACAAAGTGGTCAAAGATGGAAAAAATACTGTTAGTAAAGCTATAGGAGAATAAGCACTAATTTTAAAATTCTAATACACTACAATAACTATTGGATATAGAAAACGGTGTAACCTTTGTTTCAAACTGACAATCTATTCCAAGATTTTAAAAATGCATGCCCTATGACATCCCAGTACCATTCCTGAGAAAGACAAGTTTACAAAGGTATTCATACAAGAAAATTTATCTGGGCACTCTATTAATAGAAAAAACTTGGCCACAGTCTAAATGTACATCAATAAAGACTTGAATAAATAAAATTATAATCTTTCCAATACAATAGAATACTATACAACAATTTTAAAAGATATACACATTTATATATTTATATGTCTGTAGTTATCTATATATCTGTATCTATATATCTATAGTTATTAATATGTGGAAGAAATTCCACATGTATTGAATATTTTAAAGGTTAAGTTATAAAATAACATATACTAATAAGATCTATGTTTTTCCATATATGCAAAAAGAAAAGTCTGGAAGGATGTTTCCCAACATGTTAATGGGGGTTGTTCCTTGATAATCAAAATCTAACTTGAATAAATAAAAGGTAGAAGCATTCGATTGGGTAAGTTAACACATTCAACTTCTAAACACAATCTGTATCTCCCTTCTCCAAGGTCAGTCAGTTAATAATAACCTAACCGTTTTCAATTATGATTAAACTTCTCATAAGTTAGAAAATTACCATTATGTAAAGATCAAAGTATCTCTTGTCTAGATTTTAAAATCAGAGAGCTTTCATAAATCTGATATTAATGAAGAAAAAAAACCTGACCTCTTTTACAATTGGCTTCTGTTGTGAAAAAATACCAACTTATAATAACTTCGAAATTTTTTTTTAGTAGTTTGTATCAGCATTTTACAAAACTAGGTAAAAATTAATGTAAATGTTAAGACACACTAAAGAATAATGAATGACTTATTTAAGTGATCAAATGCATTTAATATCTTTTTTTATTACCTTGGCTTTAACGAATTGGACTATTGGACCAAGTTCTGACACTACTTGATTTCCCACATGAATAAAAGGTACTTTACCTGTTGAAGGGTAAAAAAATACTTTTGGTAAATTAAAGTTTGTGCAAATTAAAAGAAATGAACATAAAATTCACATGTTATTAATACAGAGAACTCATAAAACTGTAACTTTTGAAAATTATAGTTTGATGCATATGTTAAATTCTATAAAATTTTAAACACATTACTAACCAATCTTAAAAGAAAAAAGGACAAAAAGATTCATTTCTAGAGTTCTTGTTTAGATACGATAACAGATCACAATATTCTCTTTCCAGAGCTAATGCTAATAAATCACTATATAGCAGTAAATACTAATTATCTAAATTACATGAACCAAGCCAGGACATTGGTACATGACCACTGTTAAATTTCAAAGAAATTTACTTGAGTTTTATTTTCAGAGTATAAGTAATCTTTTTATGCCTTTTCTTTTTCTTTCTTTCTTTTTTTTTTTTTTTAGTAGGAATCTCACTGTTGCCCAGGCTGGAGTGCAATGGCACATTCTCGGTCACTGTAGCCTTGACCTGCTGGGCTCAGGCAATCCTTCTGTCTCAGTCTTCCAAGTAGCTGGAACTAGAGGCATGCATTACCATGCCCGGCTATTTTTTTTTTTTTTTAATTCATTGTAGAGACAAGGTCTCGCTAAGTCGCCCAGGCTGGTCTCAAACCCATGAGTTCAGGTAATCCTCTCACCTTGGCCTCCCAAAGTGCTGGGGTCAGTTATAGGCATTAGCCACTGTGCCCCGCCTATATCTTTTCATTTTAAATAACAAATACTCATCAAGATCAGTAATTGGTGTATTAAGGTCTCTGACTCAAAATATGAGAATTAAAAGACTTAACAATCTTTAAGGTATGTTAGTTGAGTTTTATAATATAAAGCATATTCCTAACACATGTGGGAAAAAAGAAGTAATATGCTTACAAAAACTGGCTTCTATAAATAAATGTCACATTAAAGAAGAAATGTCATTTTAATAAATATTAATACTTGATGAAATTATCAGCGACAAGAGAACAAAACGGTCTCCAAGTAGCAAGAAGTTTGCTCCCAACACTAAATAATAAAACCCACTGTCAGACCTAGTTCAAAGAGAGTTCACACTAACAGCAGGCTTCTTCCTGCTCCTTTTCAATAAATTCACTCCTCTCTGGCTCAGTTGGCCTGGGGGTAATGGATGAGGTGCTCAGCACCAACAAAAGCTTCATCTGCATCCATAGGATAACATGCATTACAAAAGGAAGGCAGGTCTTTTGGAACACAACAACTCAATAGAGGGCATTTCCCTGTTACCAATTCTGCATGTCTTCCATCTGCTCTTTTATAAATTTTGCAAAAAAGAAAATAATTTATCTGGGTAAGCATTATGCCATATTGGTTTTTAAGCTGAGATACAAATCTAACTACTATACTACCAGAATTAGTACAGGTCCTGCAACATAAACGAGAATGAAAATTATTTAGTGCCCCGACTAAAGGGTATGGGGGGGTGTAACATTTTTAGAATCAGGTATATTTCTCATCTTCAATAACCAGTTTCAGGGTCTTGGGGGGAAAAGAGTCTATATTTTATTTCTTTTCTTAAAAATGTACTGAGCATTGCAGATTCTGAATTGGGAAGGAAGTGTGGGAAGTCAATTGAGTATTCACTTACATAAAACATACATATATATGTTTAACTTATACATATATGTATAAATATATAAAACATATATATATACATATAAACATAAAAGATATAGAAAAATCAAGACACAAGTTAGAAGCAAATAATGTTTTCTGTCACTAGCCTGACTTCAAATGGAGCCAAGGTTATATATCCTTATTATTGCAAGTATCAGGAAAAAGTACCAATAAAAGGTAATAAAAGAAAGAGCTCAGCAGGGCTTGGTGGCTCAGCCTGTAATCCCAGCACTCTGGGAGGCCAAGGCGAGTGGATTGCCTAAGGCGATTGCCTAAGGCCGTGGGTTCGAGACCAGCCCCACATTTCTACAATAAATCCAAAAATTAGCCAGATGTGGTAGCACGCAACTGTAGTTCCAGATACTTGGAAGGCTAAGGCAGAAGGACTGCCAGAGCCCCGCAGGTCAATGCTGGGGTGGCCATGAGCGTGCCACAGCACTCCAGCCTGGGCAATGGAGTAAGACTCCAACTCAAAAAAAAAAAAAAAAAAAAAAAAAAAGAGAGAAAAAAAGAAATTCAGAGAATGTTAGAAATAGAAAGGGTCTTGGAAGTCATCTAATCCAACCATCTCATATTATAGCTGAAGTCACTGAGGCTTGGAGGAGTGAATTTTTCCAAGGAAGCAGTTAATATGTGACAAAGTCACAGAGGGATTAAAACTTTCCCAACTCTTCACCAAGTGGTCTTCTGTCTAGTCCCAACTCTCTACTTTAAAAATCTACCACAAGATCAAAGAAGCAAATAAATCATTTGATCAAAGAAAATACTAATTTGAGACATGATGAATTTTAAATACCTTAGTGAAAAATCTCATTTTCATCTACCTGGAGGAGACTCCACCTATGAAAGAATGTTATATATTCTATGTCTCTAAAATTCACCTGTCTTTCACAGAGTCCATAAAAAGATGGGTATTCTATCTAAGTAATACTAAGTATCGCAATTTTAGGAAACAGTAGATGAACTACACTGACTTCTCAATTGCCAAAAATTTTAGCTTTAGTATTAGATTGCTAACCTTTTTGTATGTAAATATATAAACTTTTTGTATAATTACATAAAGGAAAAAGATGGACAGACACAACATAATTTATTTTACCAGAATTCAGTAAAGTTTATAAAGTCTATGTATAAAATCAGCACAAAAATGAGTTAATATATGTTCTCCATGAGTCTGATATATTTACATTTTCAAGTCCAGAAATTCTTTTAATTTTTTATTTTAAAGATGCAGAAATTCTTTTATAAAAATATTTTCTAAATGTATATTCATAATCCTATAAATGCAGATACATTTATTTAGACTAGTTACTATAAAGAGGGTGTTTCATACCTTTGAACAATTATTACTACTCTTAAGAACTTAAGATGAAAAAAATGTTTAGCACAAGTCATTCCTAAGTTATCAGCACATCACAGTGAAAAGGTAAATGTCTCCCTAAAAGCAATGTAGCATGCTTATACCAATCAGTTATACTTAGTCATTTATTTAAAAAGAAGTAATTCTACATGTTGTTATTGCTCCAGTAAAACTATAATTACAATAATCCATGCTAATTATATTTAGTATTTGTTTATAAGCTTGTGGTACATTTTTTATATTAGCCATTATTTCAATCACAAAAGACAATACTGATTATAAAAATAGCACAAAGGCTAAAACTTTTATGGAAAGTATCCTAAAACCTGTTAAAGCATTAGAAAAAAAGAAATAATTCGAAACCAAAAACATTCGGTGATGACTTCAAGATCTAATGATAATTTAATTATTCCATAATCTCTTTTTCTACCTGTATGATGGGAGAATATAATTTGAGAAATGTGTTGAATAATGAATGGATTCATTATTATTGAAATTTGTTTTCTGAAAAAGAAAGTTTTATGTAAAACTGGGGAAATTTAAGATAATGTATTTCCTCACGTTTACTATTTAAAAGAATTCCCATAGCATGCTAGGAACCACCTCTGACCAAAGTTGAAATGAATAAACACATGCCAACCCCAAGACTGCCAAGTTTGCAATTGCTACTTTATGAAATGATAGAAAAATTCTTCAAAGGGTAAACAAGAATCAGGCATTTTTAACATGGGTACAGATTGAACTACTACTATAATTTTATCAGTACAGAATATTAATAGAGAAGGAAAACAGCATACTTACCAGAAGGAGACATATATTCTGCATTTGCCCTACAAACTACTTTGACAGGCAGATTACACATTTGCAAAAAGGCCTGTAAGTCAAGAGATATACAATAAGCCTAGAGAAAGCACATTTTAATGCAACTTTTTATTCATTACTTTTCTAAGTTTAATTGATAATTTATACTGCAATACTTTATTGGAAACGAATGAACCAATTTAAACTGAAGGATCTGTTTTCTAAACAAAAATAAAATTGCATTTCACTACTTAAAAATCAATATGATTAATACATCAGTAAATATATAAAGCTTAAAAAGCATGTATATATACTTAAGGAAGAAAATGTATATTCTCCACATTTATTTTACTGTATATTGCTTTCCTTTTCTTAAATAAATAACTAAAGTCCAAATTTTATAAGCTATTGATGACAGCTTCATCCCACTCACTACTCTCTATAAGCTCATCATCTTCATCTTAGAGGAAAGCACAAAATGTTATTTCTGCTATTTCAAAGTTTTCTCCATTAATACTCCATGTAACTTCTATGCTCACTAATTCACTTTTTAAAGATTTAAATTGTTTATTTTCATTTTTGCTTACAATGACAACAATCTTATAAGCAAGTTAAGTATCTAACAATAACAGTACAGGGTAAATCATTACAGTACATTCAAACTATGGACTATTATACAGTCCATTTAAAAACTCATGTTTTTAAAGAATTTTTTGTGACAAGAAAAAAAGAACACATTATAATTTTAAGTGAAAAAATACAAAATTGTATTATTATATCATACTAATTCCTCTTTAAATGTTAAGACATCAACCCCATTTTAAAAAATAATATTCAAAGCTTACTCCTTTTATTCTCTATTATTTCTTTTCTACATTCACAAAATTCACCTATGTTCTTTCTATAAAATCATTCAATTACTGAATTGGGACGCCTTAAATTACAACGGTTCCAATTACCACATACAAATTAAGAAACAAACCTTTTATCTATTTTGAAATTGAAGGAACTACTATAAATAACAAATGTAAGTTGAGGTAAATTAATAAATTAACAAGGCTATTATTTACCCATTATTTATCATATATTACCCAAAAGAGATTTTTCATAGGTTTGCATATTACAATTCCTTCCTCAGTTCTAGATTAGAATCAGTCTTAAAACTCTTGTTTAGTAGTAAGAGTATTGACCACTAATTAATATCTTGTACAAAGAACACCATTTACCTAAAATACTGTCAATTCTCTTCTTTAAACCTATCTTCCTCAAAATCCAGTCCTCTAGGAATGATTCCTTCTGAAAATAAATCACATATGAGTCTGATAACCCCTTACTTTCATCCTGTGATTCTTACATTGCTGCCACTTATGTATGCATGCCTGATCTCCCAAGTGAATGGAATCTCTTAGAAAGCCAAGGAACAGATTTTAACTTTTTGTGTACTTCTTTCCTCCTCCTGCAATCTTCCTCATTTTCCCATAGCTAACCTAAGATAGTGTTCTACTTATAATAAGCATTCAATGCTGTCCACTGATTGGGCCAACCAAAACTCCCAAGAATCTGTTGTGGCAGAGGTTGTTAGTTATCCCTGTTAATATGTTCTCTTTCCCTAAAGTGGTAGAACCTGAGAATTGTATCTGTATATATGGCTGCTTGCAATAAAAACTTTTATTTCCCTGTCTCCTTTATACCTGGGTATGGCCAATGTCTAAATTAAAGTGTTCAACAAGCACATGTGGCTAGTGGCTACTGTATTTACTAGACAGCACAGATGATGAACACTTCCATCATCACAACATGATGTCATAATGTCTACTGGATGTCTATTAGAATGCATGGGTCTATAATAATGGTAATCAGAAAATAAAAGAGATCTTAGCAAGAGAGACTAACATCATCTGAAAGTGATTATACTAAATATTATAAAGAATAACCTGCATAATAGAACAGTGTCCAAAAATCCTGCAAGGTGATCAATCAACCTTGATAATGGTGATACGTTGTTCAGCATATTTCTAATTTCAGAGAGAACTAAAATTATTTGCTGAGCAACTCCAATTGCTAAAATAATCAAGCAAATGTATTATTATGTGAAAACTAAGACCCAAAGAATAAATTAAAACTACACTCAATAAACATATTCATTCTTTGAATATAAATTTACTGAGTACCTAAGCATATGACATGGTAGGGAATTTTTAGAATACACACACACATACATGCACACAGAACTTAATCATAAGTATCTGATTTCTAAGACCCTGAAATTTAATAAGCTTGATGCAGTTTCCACATATTAAATAAATTAATTCAATGTAAAAAAAAATTCATTGAAAAATAAGGTGTCAGAATGTTTTTCACTTAAAAAATTTTTTAACAAAAGAAGTAATACCAGATCATCAATAACTGGTTAAACATGAAGGACTGAATTTATACATTTATTTCTGCAACCTTTCAAAAAAAATCTGTGAAAATAACAGAACTAGAAAAGGAACAAACCCAGAAAGACACAAAGTTGTGGAGAGGGGACAAAAGCAAACCAGAGATGTCAACCCATTTTGCAGGGCAAAGGAAGCTGAAATCTAAGAGCTTGCAGAGGAGAAAATCAATACATCTGCATCACAGAAACTAGGAAGACTCCAAAACTGGAAGCACAAGTAGCACAGAAGGCAGAGGTGAGGCACAGGACTACAAACAGAAGGACTGAATGAAAGCAAGCATCAGACAATCAGCCCTCCCCCAATCTGGCAAAAGACAGGTTTATTCTTTGGAGAAACTGAACCAGAGAGGCTTCTGAGACAGAAACCCAAGCACAGTAAAGGGCAGTGAGTGAGGATTCACACTGAAGAGAGGCAAGGGTAAGGATAAGTATACACATGAATGTGATCCCCACAGAACCCTCTCCCTCTCAGCTCCCAAACATAAGATATCCCTCCATGATATCTTTCTGAAAGAAAAAAAGCCTACAAATACTGATGGTTTTACTGAAGGTGGGACAGTGGCTAACAAAAATGACAGCTCAATATGTAATCAGTCTTCAAGGATGCCCACATCAAAAAAGGCCCTATCTCTCTAACAGCTTTTAAGGACTTCACTCAACTATAAGTTGTTAGCAATGTTCAACAGATATTTGAAGAAAGCCTCTAACATAAACAACAGAGGCAGAACAAACCACAGAAAAGGAATCGGGAGGAAACAGAAATGAAGACGAGAGCAGGGGACAACTTCAAAGAAAAAAATGGCTAATGTTTATTGAGCACTTACTATATGCCAGGTATGTGCATAAGAACTTTATATTTATTAATATAACAAGTATCCCTATGTTAAGATGAGAAAACAGAAGTACACAGATGTTAAGGAATATGATCAAGGCATAGAGGAAAGAAAGGTAGAAGAAAAGGAAAGAGAGAGGGAGGGAAAAGAAAGAGGGAAGGAGAGGAGGAGGGAGGGAGGGAGAGGA